AAACCAAAACAAAACTGAAGGATTAGATGCTTTTTTATTGTTTTCTGTTGTGTTGACGGAAGAAACTCAATTAGCACCCCCCCCCCAAATTTTGGCTGGATCCGCCCTTGATGTCACTTACGTACTTACCAGATTTTTATACTTTCGCGCTCTGAGGCTCATGTCCTGGAGACTGTCTGTTTCTTCAAGAAATCTTGTTATAACTCCCAGCTTTCTTTCTGTTTTGTTTTCCGAGATTTCCATCAGATCTGAGACGAAGTCAAGAAAGTTTGGTATAGAGGATTTGCACCCACACCACGTGACAGCAACCATGTTAGATGGAAGGGACAATGCAATCGTTTTACATGAGAAAGAATTCAAATTGAATTCTCGAGAGCACAGGGATTTTATTGTTCTGCCATCTAACCACAGGCAGTCCAAGCTGTACGTATGGGCGCCGGTACGTGATGGTGCTAAGCCTGTATTCCAGGGAATTTTCAGTTTGAAAACGAAAAAATAAACTACAACAGATAGCCCAGAAAAAAGGCAAATGCACGCTTTGTGTTATACCTTCGTAAATCCACTGCTCCCTGGTGGTAACCATRACTTCCATCTCAACAGAACACAAAGAATCCGCCACGCTATCTGCTACAACATCCAATGTACTTTTACGCTTTAGTTTAGCTCCCACTATCTGTTGTAACTCTAGACAACAGTTTTCTTGATTGTATTTGACTTTGGCGAAGGTAAAAAGTAGAGGTGATCGTTCGTTCCTCTCTACTGGAGGTGCTGGGTGTTCTGTCTAAAAAAGAGCAACACTGATCCGCATGTAATCTTAACGACCGTCATAGGAAAAAAAATTGAAAAAGGGTAAGCATTAGCGCCAGGAAGCATTGAACGTGACGTTGTGAATGCGAGGCTAACATGAAAATACAATTTTTTTTTTCAATGGAATTTGTGGCATTTCATTTGTATTTCCATGTTTGGCTCGCATTCAAGACAATCTTAAGAAGGGTCCACTGATTAATATTGACAGGGGAAAATCACGTTTAATCCCCCCTAACCCATATCGCGATACAAATCATTCAACACAAACCTTGCGTTACACTGAGTAGCGTAGCGAGGGGGGGGGGGGCACGGGGAAAAAAACAAACAAACAAACAAAAAACAAAAAAAAACAAAAAAACAAAAAACATATTAAACCAAAACGAAAGAGGGA